TGGGGGAAGGCCCCTACGACAGGGATCCACGGTGAGAAGTTCTTCTCGACTTTCACTGACATGCACGCGCGTCGTACAGTTGTAGAATTCTCCAAGACGAAGACAGATGAGTTGGAACACTTCAAGGCGTATCAAGCACTCGTCAAGAACACCCACGGAGTCACCCTCAAGGCCGTCCGTTTTGACAACGGAGGCGAATATATCAGTAAGGACTTCATTGCCTACTTGGAAGCTGAAGGCATTACAGTACACACTACGACGCCCAAGTCCTCCGCACAAAACGGTGTTGCGGAGCGCGTCAATCGCACCGTGATGGACCGCGCGCTGGCGCTCCTCATCGCGGCAGGTCTCCCCAAGTTTCTCTGGCCCGAAGCCGTGGCCCACGTCGCGTACCTCAAGAACCGATCCCCGACTCGCGCACTCAAGGACAAGACTCCCGAAGAAGTCTGGACCGGCCGCAAGCCCGACATCTCGGACTTACAGGAGTGGGGCATCCGTTGCTGGGTACTAACTGACAGACAGAAACGAACCAAGCTGGACCCCAAGTCCCAGCCTATGTTTTACATGGGCCCAGCACCCGGCACGAAAGGCTGGGGGTACTACGATCCCAAGAGTCGCCGAATCGGCAAATCTCGCAACATCATCTTTGCGGTCCCCAAGAGTCAACCACCCGCGGGCGATGATGACGACGAGTACGTCGAGCTCTCCCTCCCTGCGCCGCTCGAGGGGGAGAATGGGATCATAGGCGACCTGGCGCAAGGGGGAGACACGACCGTCTCTCCCGCGAATGTACCAGACGCACCACCCCCGGTTACGACTCAGAAGGCACCGCGACCGAAAACTGTCATTCCACCATCCGAGCGCACCCTCCGCGGGAAGCCACGCATCGACTACAAGGCTGTCGAAGACGGCAAGGGCATAGTCATCAGGACCACGCCGAACGCGCCTCAACAAACGGTTTTGGACGATGACGATGATGCCGTCGAACACATCGTCGGCGATTACGAGTCACATTTCCTCTGCCTGCTCACACTTACAGATACACCCACCGCGCGCGAGCCCCGCAATTACAAGGAAGCGGAAGCATCACCAGACGCCAAACTTTGGCGTGGCGCAATGGACTCCGAGATCGCCCAACTCCTCAAACTCGGCACCTGGTCACACGCAGACCTTCCGTACGGACGCAAACCCATCGGATGCACCTGGGTCTACAAGCGCAAGGAAGACCTCGAAGGGAACGTCAAGTACAAAGCGCGCCTTGTCGCGCAAGGCTTCTCCCAAGTCTTTGGAATAGACGTCTTCGATACCTTCTCTCCTGTCATTCGCACTGACTCAGTTCGCGTTCTAGCTGCCATAGGAACCGTGCGTGACATGGAGATGTCGCAGTTCGATGTCGTCGGCGCATACCTCAACGCCGAACTCGACGAAGAGATCTACATGCGACAACCCCCGGGATACAACGACAAACACAGCAAGGTTCTACGCCTGCAAAAGGCACTCTACGGCCTCAAGCAGGGCGGTCGCAAATGGAACGAGCACTTCAATCGCATCATGACGCAAAACCTCGCCTTCAAGCGTTTGAACTCGGATCCCTGTGTCTACATCAAGAAGACCAGGCGCGGTCTTGTTATCATTGGCGTCCACGTGGACGACATGATCGCGCTCGCGGATACCACATCGCTGATGGATGATTTTGCTACAGAACTGGCCAAGCATGTCAAGATCACTAACATGGGTCCCCCGACCCTGTTCTTAGGCCTAGAGTTCTCACGAGATCGCACTGCACACACGCTGACCATTTGCCAATCCCAGTACATTCTGCGTGTCCTCGAGCGTTTCGGCATGACGGACTCAAACCCTGTCAGCACGCCGCTCGACCCGAACGTCAAGCTCGTCAAATGTGCTGAAGACGCTGATCTCACCGAAATGCGCAAGTGCCCGTATCAAGCTGTCATCGGATCCCTCATGTATGCAGCCCTCGGAACGCGACCGGACATCGCGTACGCCGTTCAGGCTCTTTTGCAGTACAACTCGCGCTATGGCCCGGAACATTGGACCGCCGCAAAGCACGTCCTGCGCTACCTCAAGGGGATGCACACGTATGGCATCACCTACTCAGGCGAAGGTCAGACGCGACTTCAAGCCTACTATCTCAACCTTCGACTCGAGGGCTATACCGACGCCGACTGGGGATCAAACCCGGACGACCGACGCTCGATTTCGGGATATACTTTCCTCGTTGGGAACGCCGTCGTCGCATGGAGCTCGAAGAAGCAAACTACGGTCGCGCTCTCATCGACTGAAGCCGAATACATGGCCGTATCGTACGCCGCGCGACACACGATCTGGATGCGCGCGCTACTGGCCGAACTCACGTTCGCTCCTACTGAAGCCACCAAGCTCAATGTCGATAACAAGTCAGCAATGGAATTGTCCAAAGACAATGTTCTACACGCGCGCACGAAGCATATCGATATTAGACACCACTTCATTCGAAAATGCATCACCGGCGAGGCCATACGACTTGAATATTGCCCTACGGACATCAATTCCGTCGACCTGTTCACGAAGGCCCTCGCACGGGAACGTTTCCAGGCCCTTCGCACGCAACTCGGTATCCTTCCGGTACAGAGTTGAGGGGGAGTGTTGGAGTATAGCGGACACGTTTCTCTTTGTACCAATTGTTAAGGTTGGCCCAACGAAGATTCGACACCTCTCGTAACGCGTTATGGTCACATCAGTCACCAGCGCTCAGCCACGTCATTAGCAGTTATCGACGGAATATCAATCGAAATAGGGCTTATGGTCACTGTTACTGGTGTTCCATGCTCCGGAGTCTCTTGTTGTCTACTATGGCCTCCTCTGAGCTTTCGACGATATTGAGCTACTTAGGGCGTCCCACGTGTACCACTGACCGCTCTCACCCATCGACCACCACCTTCACCCGTCGTCTGCAACACACCATGGCTAAGCCAGCGACGCTCACCATCCTCGGGACAGGCAAACTGATCAATGCCGTGTGGGTGCGTCACGGCAGAGTGGAGGAGCGACTGGGCGACTCCCAGAAAAGTGGAGCGGAAGATGGCCGGGCGGCTGCATGCGGCCGGGTCGGTGGTGTTTGTTGGCTGTGTCCGCCCGAGTGCTTGTCGCGGCGACTAGGCGCGTAGACTCGGGTCGACGTTCGGCGACGACCCCGTAGGCGAGCGGCAAGGAGCCGAAAGGGGAAAGAGAGAGGGAGAGGGATAAACGTGACAGAAAACTCGACGAGGGCAGAGCGGAGGTCGGCACGAAGGCACGAGACCTACGAAAGCTAGTCTTCACGCAGGCAGCGACAGACTAGTCCCAATGACCAAGTTATACATTAGCAATCGGAGGGAGATACAACGCTATGGTCACTCACCTAGTCCCAATGACCAAGAGGTCGAGATGGGGACTAGGGAGTGCCTAAGGGGTCCTTATATACTAGAAGGGCTGCTTAGCAACCAAAGACAAGGCGCGAGAGCGAGGCAGTGAAGATGACAAAGGGAGAACAAAGGGCGGGAAGGAAAAGGCAAAAGGCATGGCGATCACGGGAACGTAGCATGCGGGTGTGGGAACGTATCTGCAGTGTCCAAACTGGGATGGGCTAA